GCTGGGGTTACAGGCGTGAGTCACTGCACTCGGACTCGGATACTTTTTAACTGAATAAAAATTTAAAAAGTTAAACTAAAAAAAATTTACATAGCATCTAGAGGAAAAAAAGTTTTTTTCTTCCCAAAATGTACAATAGTTTCTGAGGAGTTTTATTTGTGTGTGGGGACAGTTATTCAAGCTTTCTCAAAAGCGTCAATAACATCCCAATGGAAGGAGAAAACTGTAGGGCAAATATTTGTGTAGTTCCTTTATAAAAGACAAAAGATGTTTAATTACTGTATAACACATATCTCAACCCTCAAACAACAAATTTAAAGCTTTGAACTCTTCTGTTCCTTCTGTTGATCCAGAACTAGAAGTTGGTTAGAAATAGCATCTTTCATTACAGTATTGGCCTTGATGGAGTCCCACTGGGGCAAATCAAATATCAAATGTCATAACAAAATTTCAATTCTAGGTCACTTTGTTTTATAATATTGAAAGATGTCAGAGGTAAATGCATATATTGCACCAGACTCAGATGGCGCAATCTGAAAATGCCAAAATGCTCTCATATCCCTGTGTTTATGATGAAGAGTAACTAACTCATAACTACTGTTCTCCTAGCTGGTGCTTTTAATTTATTATCAAGTCCCATCCGGGAACTTGTTAAATAATGTGGCAGATCCCAAGGAAAAGCAAAATCTTTCAATGGCAGAAACTAGTCAACCACGGGAGGAAATAATGCATTTGATTTATAGTGGCATTTGTGTTAATGGGATTTATTTGGTACGACCAGATTTCTGCCATGGTTAGCTGGTAACAAGAGTTCAAACCAACTTTTTAAAAAAAGGGTTTTTTGTTTTTTTAAATAAACGTGGGCCTATTGGGCCTATTTCCCCTTTCATTCCTTCATAAAACAAGTGCTAGCTAAGTCCCTGTCCTTGAGGAGTTCCCAGACTAGCTGGGAGTGCCAGCTATGTGCCAGAATATTCTTCAGTAAACTTCAGATGTATCTGCTGGAGGAGAAAAGAGAAAGAAAAAAAAAAAAAAACATAAAAATTCTCAGTCTTCATGGAGCTCATGCCCTAGTGGGAAGGAACAGAAAATAAAAAGGAACCTAATAAGTAGGTTACAGTGCATAAAGGATGTCAAAGAACCTTTCATTGTGAAATTAAGTTTAAATTTTAAAATACAGATGGCTTAACCCTTCATGGACAAAATGCCTATCACTCGATATTGAACCTCCACTGCGAGATTAAAAGGTGCATCTCTTAAACAACTAGCATGAAATGCATTTGGGAATGTGAACCTCACTTCTTCCAACAACTATTTCATATTTCCTCTTGGAATGCATGTCCCATGACGCCTGTCTCCTCATTCAAAGTCTTTGGTGCCCTGCCTTCCCATTCTTGATGCATTTCCCCTTCTGTGGACACAATGCACACAACATCCTGGTCAAGCACTACACTAAGTGCTGGAGATACATAGTTAAGATACAGCCTTTACCCCTAATGAGTTGACCTTCTAATAGGAGGAAAACAAAGGAAGACCAAGGCTTATGAGTGTGTAACTGAAGAATGCAAAGTACGCTGGGTGTGCCAGAGAGGGAATGATTATCTCTACCTGGGGAAGGCTACTCTGAGGTGGTGTCTGGGAAGATGGGTAAACACGTGAAAGCAGAGACTGTCAAATGGTTCATATGGGCCAGGAAGCATGGAAGATGGGGCAGGGAAGAAGTGAAGCTAAATCCTGGAACTGCAGGAGCTATGTCTGCACAGATGCCATAACTGGGAGCTACATCCCTTGAGAGAAAAAATGGAAAGCAAAAGCAGAGGTGGTTTATGAGCAGACTTGAGCCACAGCCCTGGGCACATTGTGAAGGGTGATTGGACCTCAAGGCACAGGTTAACTAAAGAAAGAATATCTAAAGAAAGCAAGGAGACTAAGTAGCAGAAGAGGACAATGGCAACAATGTAAGTTAGACCCAAAATGAGCCCTCATTCTTTTGGCTGACCTCTCCATTCCCCATTGGATACACCACCAACCAGTCATCCAGGTTTAACAGTAAACCCTTCCATTTACACGCTAGTCTCAGCCTAGCAATGTTCCCAAACCCAACACAGGGAAAGTGTCACTGGGCATGCCCTTTATATCCACACAAGCTGGAAAAGTTAGAGCTTCTCTGCTCTCATATTAAATACTCATAAAATTCATGTTCCAGAATTCATGTAGGACACTTTTATTTGGAGCCACATCACTATCCTCTCGCGCTAGAAAGGAAATAGGAAGAAGACTCTATGCCTTGGGATCATTCTATGTATTATATACAGTATACAGTAGGGTGATCATCTCCCCAGCTAGTCTGGGAACTCCTCAAGGACAGGGACTAGCTAATAGTAGGCATTTAATTAAGAACTGACAAACAAATGAATTAACCCACTGAATTTTTCTCCATAGTTCTAACCATATATTATAACAGATGAAAACAAAAAACACCAATTGCTGCTATTTTTCATTCTAAGGGATGACAGCATGAAGACTATCCAACCAACTTCTCACAAACACAAAATCTATGGCACCACCTGTACAAGGCACACAAAGTCACACATCAGAATCACAGACCGGCAAGTTTAGATGTACATTTTCAAATACTTTCCTGTTCTCCAAATTTGCTGAGTGATATTACCAGTTTAGAGTATACATACACATACACACACAGCTTGGAAAGAAACATTGTAATCCAGAAATATTATGTGGAAAGACCGTTTTGCAAAACTATAAGAACTCAGTTGAAGCTTCACCACCTCCAAAATGAACACATAGTTGACCTTGAACAACAGGGGCTTGAGCTGCTCAGGTCCAGTTATACACAGATTTTTTTTTTTTTTTTTTTTGAGACAGAGTCTTGCTCTGTTGCCCAGGCTGGAGTGAAGAGGCATGATCTCGACTCACTGCAACCTCCGACTCCTGGGTTCAAGCAATTCTTGTGCCTCTGCCTCCCAAGTAGCTGGGATTACAGGAGCCTGCCACAACTCCTGCTAATTTTTGTATTTTTTTCAGTCGAGATGGGGTTTCGACATGTTGGCCAGGCTGGTCTTGAATGCTGACCTCAGGTGATCTGCCCACCTCAGCCTCCCGAAGTGCTGGGATTACAGGAGTGAGCCCCAGTGTCTGGCCAACGTGTGGATTTTTTTAAAGCAAAAGTTACACCTGCCTCTCCTGCCTCCCTTCTGCCTCTTCCCCCTCTTCTACCTCTGCCACCCCTGAGACAGCAAGGCCAACCCCTCCCCTTCTTCTTCAGCTGAAGGCCTTTATGATAATCCACTTCCGCTTAATAAACAGTACATATATTTTCTCTTTCTTGTGATTTTCTTAGTACCATTTTCCCTACCTTACATTATTGTAAGAATCAGCACATAATACATGCAACATACAAATATGTGTTAGTCAACTGTTGATGTTACTGGTAAAGCTTCCAGTCAACAGTAGGCTATGGATTAGTAGTTAAGTTTTTGAGGAATCAAAGTTATTTGTGGATTTTCACCTGCGCAGGAGTACCAGTGTCCCTAACCCCACATTGTTCAAGGGTCAACTGTATGAATATGCAGTGGCCTGGCCCGGGCTGAAGTATAACAGACAAAACTGAAAGAGAAATTTTTCTTTAAAAAGAAAAAGGCCACACTGTTAAATTCAAATATAAATATAAATATAAATTCAAATACTCATTTACATCAAAGTCTAATGCTCTGGGCAGGTAATTCTTGGGCCTGGCTACTGACGCATGCTTGGGAACAACGGAACACACAGAATCTCCCAAAGCAGCCTCCTTCCTAAAGCCTCTCCAGCAGTCACTCTCTCACGCCCAGGTTACAAACACTATGCTTGGTGCAGAAGAGAGTCGATTTCACTGATTAAAAGCACTAATGATACTAAGATTTGCGTAGAGAAACGCAAACATATAGCAGTTCACATTGACAGTTAGTGAGCATGGGAACTTCCAAAGTCAGCCCCTCCTCCCCTATGGTATGAGGGTGTGTGGGTTTGGGGGACAGGGGTCAGCGAGGGTGTCTTTTCTTGATGAGAAGAAGAAAGTGCAGAGACTAGTGCTGCAGAGAACTACCCTTTCTGGAATCCATAGAGGGTCTGGCCTTTTATCCCCAGGCCCAGGCCCAGGCCCAACCCAAGCCTGGGGGCCCGGGTTTCGTCATGGGCACCTCCTGCTGCCATGCCCTGGCTGTTCCACACGAGCAGAGAGAGACAGGAGGCAGGCCCTTCTGACACCTACTTAAACGACGCAGATGGAGAGGGGAGTATGGGGGATGCCTTTACTTCCCCCTCAGGAGGCGCCCAGCAGGAGCCTACAGAGCCAGCAACTCCAAAATCGGATTTCCACACATCCTTCCACCCCAGAACATGCCTCACCCCTCTGGCAGGAGGAAACAGAGCCTTAAGCAAGCGTGGCTCTGGTGTATGAGGGGCTTTTAGAAGACCTGAAGAAGGCTTCTTATACGATCCTGCACTTTTTTCAAAACTTTACAGAGGTAGCCAAGTAGGGACACAGTTATTCATTTACTGATGCAAAGGGGGCAAGGGTGTTACTTTAAGGCGGACACAGTCCATGTCTGCAAGATGTTCTGTGCTACAGACACATACTTTATTAATAATCTTACATACACAAAATGTCCAAGAGACAGTCTAACAGGCTAATTTCTGACAGCTCCAGATAACAGCAGAAGGCACTGAAGCCACACTGACTCTCTGGCTTCCACAAACTACTCAGAAGAGATGGTCCCTTTTCCCACCCAAGGGATATGATACAAATAAATAAATACAATTATCTGCAGAACTTACAGTGCAAGAACAACATTGTGAAGTCCTTCTCCCCAAATGCAGTGACTTGTGGGAAACAGATAGGAAAATGAAACGAACAGCTGGAAGATTTAATTACAGAAGAGCAACTCAGAAGCTGACATTGCTTCAGAGAACGAGCCAACAGCCCAAGCCTTCTCCCTTACCTTAAGATACAGAAGCAGCTCTTCGCTCCTGAAGATAAGCGGCAGAACCCGAATCTCTGTTTGCTGTCAATGTCAGTGAGCACGAACGTGAAGTTCTGGCCAACTTGGCTAACTGTGAGGCTGCAGCAAAGGCAGAACAAAGGGGAAAATGAATGTGCAGTAAGTTTCTTGATAAAGTATCTAATCACAATGAGTCATTGAACTTATAACATTTCCTCTCTCAGTGGAACTCTTAAAATTTACACACTTCAAGGGAACAGACTGTAAGCAAGTTTAAAAAAAAGACAGGCTGCAGCCCATTCTAGTGACCACCTCAGAAATCAAATAATCAGGGCTATCATACCTTCTCCTTATTGAGTTCAGTCTCTGAGGCAGCTCTGTCAGTCAGCCCATCAATCCTGAAAGGTGCCCTCTATTAACTTCATTTTGCTGATGAAGAAATAGTCTAGGGAGGCATTGCCTAAGGTCAGCTGATCAGTAGCAAAAAGCTGAATTTTAACCCTAGCTCTGATTCCACAGGCCACTCTACCAGCTTGCTGTTAACAATCCTCACCTGAGACTCCCCTATTCAGAAAATAAGAGTGCTTGCCAGAGCAGAAGGTAAATGTTACTATGTGCCAGCCACAAAGTTAGACATCATATATGTGCAGACCATCTCACTCTCATGACAACCATGGAATTCAGAGGATGTTCCCATTTCACAGAAGAGGAAACTATGGAACAAAATAGGTAGGTAACTGAAGGTCACACGGCTAACAAAGGGGAGGAGCTGAAACTGGAAAGAGGGCAAGCTTAGGTGTAACTTTCCTAAATTCCTGTATCTTTCATAATTTCTGAATTTATGAGAAACATATTTCATATTTTAGAGGACAAAAATAACCAAAATGTCTAGCATTGCATGATGTCTTCTAAGAAATAGAAACTTTTTTATTTTTTTGAGACGGAATCTCACTCTGTAGCCCAGGCTGGAGTGCAGTGGCGCGATCTCGACTCACTGCAATCTCTGCCTTCCAGGTCCCAGTTCAAGCAATTCTCCTGCCTCAGCCTCCCGAGTAGCTAGGATTACAGGCACTCGCCACCATGCCCAGCTAATTTTTGTATTTTTAGTAGAGATGGTGTTTCACCATGTTGCCAGGCTGGTCTTGAATTCCTGACCTCGTGATCCGCCCACCTCAGCCTCCCAAAGTGCTGGGATTACAGGCGTGAGCCACCGCGCCTGGCCAGGAAGAAATACAATTAAATTGGAGCAGATTTTGCTAAGTGGAAATAATATGACAATGCTAGTTCCTGTCAGAGAAGAACCTGAAGAGTGAATGGGTTTCCCTACCTTATGCTAGATTCAGCTTTGTCTTATAGAGGCAACAAAATAGAATTTTCTTTTCACCTTTAAATGTTTAGATCCTATAAAACTAAATTTCCCATTAAGGAGAAATGCTTTGAAGATGTATATCCATTTTTGTAAGTTACTGCAATTATCTCAGAAAAAGAAGAAAAGAGTTTTTTCTCTGAAGATTAAAATATTTTTGGTTAAAAAAATCCAAATTCTAATACATGAATTTATACCAACATAAAATGCTAGAATTTGACACTGAGTTATTCAAAGGGACTCATCAACTCACTGTATTTTACAATATTCAAATTGGTAAAATATTCAAATCTATGCTATCAGCTATCAATTACTTTATAAATCATTAGAAGAAATTTAAAACTCATGGTTTACCAAGCTTTTTCCAAAGGTAGAATTCTTATTAAGTCTTTGGAAATGATATGAATTAAGCTTTCAAAGATAGGGTAGACATTCTAAAACTCCCTTATACAGCCACATAAATAATTAAAATTAAAGGAATTTCAAGGTATTCCAATACAAAGGTCAATGGATTCTGCCTGTTCATATTTAAGGAGACAACTCCATCCCTTAGAGAGTGATTAGAGTGTACAAGAAAATCATTCAGAAAGAAAAAGTGTTCCACTCTCCTTATTTAACTAGGAAGGTGAACAAAAACAAGGTGGCAATTTAAAAGCAACGTGGTCATAAAGCAGGTGTAAGTAATGCTATCCCTCCACCTTACACAGCCAGGAGAAGGAACACATTTCTATAAAAGTTATAGAGCCGTCAAGGGGACACCAAATGCTACCTTCTTATGGCTGTTGTGTTTTATCTATAAAGCTTGGATACTGTGTTACTATGGTGATTTAATACTATGTTTTAAAGGGGGATTATATGATTAATTTTAACAAGGTTGAGAACTGAAGATGTGTGAGAAACAGCATTCTAGCTCACATAATTAAAGTGATTGGGGAGAAAAGTGGGCCTCAATGGGGGAGGGGAAATCCTGTTTTATTAAAATATTTAAAGCAACAGGTCTGGATGATTCTAAGTTACAAATAAGGTTGTGCTTTAAGAAACACTACTACCTGATCATGCAAAATACAATTATTCGGTGGTTTAACTCAGGTTTCGATTTCACTTCTAGAATGTTTAAAATGAATACTCTCTGTAAGTATCATCCTAGAAAGGAAGGGTATTGATAGGACTGGATGAAAAGAAAACACCCAGGATCTCCAGGAAAAAGAGAGCACCTGATTTGTGAATTGCATGTCATTAATTTCCTACTTTCTTTTTTACTCCCATTAAAAATGCTGAGAATGTGTTTACACCACAGATTCAAAGAAAGAATCATTACTCATTTACCTGGTTCAGATCCTAACTCAATCACTGACTAAATGGACCTTAATTTAGCAAGTTACTTCAAACCTTTAAGCACCTCAGTTTCTTCACCTGGAATAACAATGAGATGCTACCATCCAACCCATATGATGTTTTGAGAATAAATGGAAAAGAACTTAGTATAAAGGCCAGTCCAGAGTAGGAACAATCAAAAAGAGGGATGCAAGCTGTTGCCAACTGTGAAAACTAAAATTCGTATTAAAAGCCAGGCATTTACTTAGAATCCTCCTGATTCAGCTTTATAATATCTGTGAGTAGAGGTCTGTATTTCTTTCTCTCTCTCTCTCTCTCTCTCTCTCTCTCTCTCTCTCTCTCTCTCT